ATATAGTATTTTCTTTGACGTTGATCTTCGTGCAGATAATAGTTGAGTGGCAGTCCCACGATATTATTAGTTTTAAGAATTCATTTGAGCYGATCCAGTGAAGTTTCATGTTTACTTGTTGGTAATTAGCTCTGCTTACAATTCATCATCCGGAAGATGAACAATGAGGCGGGATGCTCTGGATCACATCGAATTCACGTCACTTAATGGGCCGCGTTTAATTCGACCGATTACTGCAAAGATAGCAGTGTTACAGGACTTAGATTGCTTCGCACTTCGACAGTTAAACATCGCGAGCGGAGACGTTGGTCACAACAAAACGCAAAGTAGGGACAAGCGTTAGAGAATCCTTAGTAATCCACGAGGAAATCACTAATTTCGAAGCAAGGTATCAAAGAACAATCAATCGAGAAGGATCGCGATCGTTTTCTTAAGGTTAAACTTAGCCATGACCTCCACTGTTGAAACTACCACAGCTATTGTGAATTGCACTTCAGACATAACGAACTGTTCGYTTTTCAAGAACTCCACAACATCACCTTCAAGCCCCATTACAGAGGAAAAGGAACCTTTATTCTCGCTGATTTTACGCATCGCGCTGTGTTGCTTGGTGTTTGTTCTCAATATTCTAGGAAATGCCATGGTTTGTATCGTAGTAAGAAGAAATAGCAAGTTACGTAGTTTCAGGAATTACTACTATGGCCTTTTTTTAGTCAATCTCTCCGTGGCGGACATGACTGTAGCGATCTTCATCATGCCGTTCGTCTTGATGTTTTACGAGACTGGMAAGTATCCGTTTGGTTTTTACGGCTCGTCTGCCGCCTGTAAGCTAGTCCCGACGCTTAGCCTAATGTGCCAAGGTGCGTCGGTCTATAGCCTTGCCTCTCTCACTTTTCAGCGTTACATAGGAATTGTTTACCCGCTGAAGGCAAGACTGACCCTTGGTAAGGTCAAAATAGTACTATCCTTAGTKTGGTTCTTTGCCTTTGTCAATTCTTTCCCWCTGATCTTGGTRTCAGATGGAGTGCGYACGCCGAAGTATAACCAATACAGCTGTGATGAATTCTGGCCCGAYGAAAGRATGCGYAGTGGTTACACCATGTACCTTTTCGTGGTCGAGTAYCTYCTTCCATTATCCATCATCTCCATGACCTACACCAAGATGGCGCTCGTCTTGTGCAACAGAGAAAAAGAGTTTGAAGGCMAGAAGACCTGCAGTAGGAGTAAGGTACGGCACATGAAGTTCATAAGGCTCYTAATCGTTCTTGTTGCTTCCTTTGCCATATGTTATCTACCCAACCATGTGCTATTTTTCTGGTATGATTATGGGTCAGGWAGCGCGTACCCATATTTCTCCGTTCTTATGAAGTGGACTCATTTTAGTATATGGCTTAACTCCTGCCTCAACCCTTATCTGTACGGAGCCCTGGATGAATATTTTAGCGAGGGMTATAAGAAAGTCATACGGCAATGTGCGAGACTGGAAGTTAAAAGTAAAGTCACACATTCAAGGATTGCGCGCCAGCTGTCCAGGTTGTACTCCGTAAGGAACTTTTCCACTGTGGAAATGGACTCGAATTCTGATGATTAACTGTGAAAATAAACTGAAACTCARTGGTGAACTTTATACARCGTTGGACCTGAGTTTTGACCATGAAGAAATGATCATATATATATATGGTTTATTTTGATTTTAAGGATAAGGATATGAGAAAAACGGACAAAATAAGCGATTTATTAGCATCAAATAACCCGAAAAAGAAATGAGATTAGAAAAAGAACACATTTTTCACGTTTTTAAGAAAGTACAAATTAAAAGCATCAAGTAAAATTGCCCTATCCACATGTAAATAGTCATCTAGATCGTAGTGATTATTTTTTAAATTACTATTCTACCAGTTGGAGACGTTTAATATAATTGTTGACAATGATTTGCTATGGGTTCTTCGGCTTCAACTTATTCTCTTTGAGTCGGGCTTGTGTACTTATCAATAATCCAACTTCGTCTGGCTTTTRTTATTAATATTTTCTTTATCAAAAGGTCAATAAGATACAAAATTGTTTTCCTTCGTCGTCYCGTGTGAATAAGTTTTTGTTTCCATAAGTTAGTATATCAGTGGTATAATAATTAATCTTTGCGCGCCGACTCGATTCATAATTAAAAAACTGCAAAAATACTAAATRGAAGTGATGACGGGCCGAAGCTTAGCCATGATCTYATAACGACAAACACAAAGAAAAATCGTTTTAGWATCGGAAGGGAGTAATTCAGAAGTTGAATACAGAATATCAGTAAAGTTAAACATAAGGACAGCCGGTGACGTAAGTCTCTGTGAATGTTTTCCAACGCTTGTGTCTTTTGAAAAGCCTTGTTGTGACAATTAAAAAGTATTTGGGATTTCAGGAATGTTTTTGGATTTTCAATCAAGCACGGTTTGGAGAGATTTCGGAAGCATAAGGGAACCTCATTTTAGTTGTTATAGACATGTGTCTTAGCGTGATGATTGAGCTTAAATCTAGYGTTTTATATGCGTAAAAGGTTCTAGATTGCTATCAGAAACCACACGAGTTTTTCCTTTATAGAATCTATCGATACAATAATGGCAATTTTTCGATTGTAAGAACACGCCTTTTTCTAAATAGCGATAAACAGMGATTTTTTAGGCTAGGATTTCGTTGAAAATAAATGGAATTGAAACTAGAAAAAAAAAGAAATGCTCGCTTGCGCACTGTTTCTSGTTTTGAAAAAGGCAAGCCAGATCTCCCCTATAGATCTTCCTATGAAAAACCAATAAATTTACACACAATTTCCGAACGAGTTAAGACGGAAAATTCATTCCTCCGTGTTTTAAATAACTGTCAAAAGTGTCAGTAGCCTGCAAAGTAAAGGAAGCGCCAGTTATTTTTAACTCAAAATTGTACGTTTTAAAAAACGGAAAATGCGCACTGAAAAGCACTTATAATCCACTGCAAGATTCGCGATTAGCAAGCCTTTTACAGCGCTGTCACAAGAACTAATCAAAGCAAAGTTAAACCACARGTGARGGACTCGATCAACCAATTAAGTAKCAAAACTGACTCATTATRAYGTCGTTAGAGCGAATTTTCCAAGATGAAAACTCGCTTTAGTGGAGAGGTGGCGGCATTGAGGCGTAGAGAGTCCGCTCAATGACACGTCTTGTTCTCTCTACAAAACTTAATTKGATTTCTAGCAGAAAGTGAAGGATAGCCTTTTGTCAGCGTGTTTGAGCAAACAAAGCTTCCATTTGCCGTTGTTATCGTGAATTCGATAASACTAATATTGATTTGCGGTACGCTGSCAAACACGTATTGATGGATATATTTCGTCGTGAAAGAAATAGGTGTGAGAACGAGATTCTAAATAAAATATTGATTTAATGACTTTGCTGTGATGTGTCTCAAAATAAACCCTTTGTTGTTTTWGACGCTCTACCTGAATACATGTACGTACGCGAATATAAACTCTGCGTTTTTAAAAAAAACGTGTACTAGAAAGTTGTAAAATTACCCATATCGGCACAAACAGCGTGATCAGTATGATACACTTTACAATAACTGCAGCGATACGTAGACACGTACGCTTCATTTGTACGTGTGCAAATGAACCACGCGCTTTTGTGATTCTTGTGAATTCTACGGAAAATTGTGCGTATATTCATACTGAATATCATCTTACGTGTTGGCTCACGTAAATGGAAACGTTAGGATGGCTATATTTTGTGTGTTGATTTTAAAATSTTTAAAATAAAATAAAGTTTACAAATGAATGCAGTATTGCTTCTTTACGTAAAGGTAAAAGTGATTTAAAGTGAAAGCATGATCGGGATTTTCAGGAAATATATGGTTTAAGTAACAGCAAAACGGCAAAGAAAAAAGGTTGTTGTCGTTGTAACGTGAGTGAAACGTGWACAACRAGAAAATTTTCCCTGTGCACCTAATAACAAGTAAAAGCAAAGAATTGCCCAAACGTTTATACTGTTCACGTATACGTAAGTATGAACATAYACATGACATTTGGTACGTGCGTCTATTACGGAACCTCACAGATTTGATATATTGGCCATGTCACGTAGAAAGAATTGCGTAAAATCGTGCAGTGAATCAGGAATGGATAGAATGTGCCAATACCACCTACATGGTACACGGACGTACGTGAATGCGGATATAGTTTACCGGTACGGAAATTGATACGGAAATTTATTACGTCAAGAAAAAGCAATTTATTTTTGTATCTTTACGTATTTTGCAAAGTTTTAAAGCTCGCATCTAATTAGGCTTTAAAACGCCAAATATAAAAAAAGCTCACAAATTTCATTAATGACTCCATTTTCATAGGCAGGGAAAGTTTCTGTGCGACACATGCAGATCTGGACACACACGAGTTTCGTCCATGTTACAACTCCTGAGGAAAAAGAGTGAATATCCATGCGTAAATGCGCGCCATTTTGCCAAAATCCTTGCGTTGCTCTAATGATGATTTTAGTCAAATTTCTTCTGTACAAAACGAATCACAAACAAGTTGCATACGTGAGGGACTAAAAGGCGGATCAATTTGCTAAGTTGGTGATGGTACTTGTAATAACACCGCCTATCTTAAGCAGTAAAATGCGGTTGTAGATAACTATTGATAATGCAAATCCAGAGCTATCTTAAGATACCGCAGACGCTCAGGTACCCTTCGGAGTAGCAATTGTTCATGAAAATGACTTGGTTTTGAGATAAATTAGAAAATCGTGTTGGTCAGCCTTTGTCGGCTTGTGAGGTTTATCTGCTTAGGAAAACAGGTCACTGATACCCGATGATAAATGTGACTGGAAAATGATTAGGCCAGCAAAAAAGACCAGATATTAGCCAAAATAACGAACAGAAAAATTACAGCTCTTTCTTAGCGGAAGATAAGATGCTGCTCATTCTTAAGGAGTTTTCAAAATGCAGCATTAAGAATTAAACGATAATTACAATTTAGTTTCCAAGCAGTTGTGAAATAAGATGAACTTTACATCGTAAAAAGTAGGTGAAGTAACTTACTGATGTTTGGGACGTTTATTCTTCGTCTGAGTAAAGTAATGAAACTGGGCTAGGTGCGAGTTTTGTAATGAAATGAGAACAAAAGTACCGTGGTAGACCTATAGGAGCAATGATAGTTTTTGGATAGATAGATTTGTGAGCAAATGGTGGACTGATCTCTAAGAACCCAGCCAGAAGGAACCCACTTATTATATTTTGTTCACAGAAATACTGCGTCAAAGTAAATCTTCATTTTTGTTGTAATGACACACAAATTTAAGATAACGTTTATCGACCTACTCAAGCTAAGAAAAGCTTTTAAACATCTGGACGYGAGCTCGTGCATCTGGAGAAGGCATGTTGTACTCTATAAGCTGCCGATGAAAGCTAACGTTATGCAAGTGTGAGCTGCACGCGGTGGTGCATTTCCAGTCATATAAAGAAGCAGAATGGAATAAAATGATAAAACGATAAAATGAAGGACATCGGAACCAACGAACCAACAATGTGCAAGACCTTAGTAAGTTTCCCCTTCTTTTAGGAGTGCAATTCATCAATAATCGTAACTTATATTTTATATTGCCGGCACGTCTAATCGTTGAATCTCGCAAAAGAAGCAAAAGATTGGATTGATGTAGTAAAATGTGAACTTCGACATATGGGGTGAATAAGTAGCTTGGTTAGCTAGCTCTAGAATCGACTTATACTGCGCATAATTGCATTTCCTCTAACCATTTTAAAATAGTTTGTTATACTGTAGGGAAATTTCGAATAATTTAGTTTAAGATTTTTTYCTTTGAATCCTAAACGAGTGTGTTTCTATATATATTACAACAGAAAAAGACTGACATTTTGAGAAGCTATGTTTTCTCTTCTTATGCMAGCTTTCAGTGTCATTAATATCGTTATTTTTTGTTATTCCAATAGAAAACGAACACTGAATCGGCTGGTTAAGTGATTTCACTTAGCATTGTTGACTCACTAATTTCCTGCGTGTCAACTATATTCATTTCTCATTTCTTTTAAGTACATGACCTCGGGTCACGTTTTTCTTCGATCAAAAAACAAACGAATGTTTCAAAACCATTTTCCTATAAAAGAGTTGAAAATATTCGAATTTTTAGACAAAGAAGCCAACGCAGTGTCAATTAATCCGATTAAACGTTCGATTAACATAGTGCTAATGGAATTAGCAGGGTCTTTATTCAACGGGCTTTAATACCAATCGTGTGAGTTCGATCATGAAATGTTTGCTAATGGATTACGCTGTCAGGAAAGGCATCACAAATATATTAATATATCAAAAAATTTGTTTGTAACTAATTGCTCCTTGTTTTATTATTCATAAGACTTTTGTTTTCACATTCGTCAAAAAGGCGCCTCTCGACACAAACTTTATTTATACAAGAACACTTTCTAAACTTCGGGAAAAGCTTATAACGTTCTGACTTTTTTCTTTTTAAGATCTTTCAAAATATACTTTGGATTTCTAAATGGCAGAAGCCCAATTTCTATCTGTTGGTAATCTGACTCGTACTCAAGCCACCACACGCATTTCAAACCAGTCAAATTTGAGACAAGAGACTGCTAATTTGACAGARTTTGAACTAACAATTTCGGCGTAGTATCCGGACTGTTTAATAACGAATGAATCCGTATGATAGCTATCACAAAGTTTTCCTTTTAGAGCCCCCTAGTAAACCGAACAGGCCGTAAAAACGGGGTGCTTGAGTTCTTACCGAAGAGACACATATCTTATTGACATTATGRCGCATGTTTTGAAAGAACGTGGAAAATGTAGTCGAAAGTCATCGRCAATAAGAGTCGAAGCTACTGCAGCAACACAGCGCCCTTGATTTCAATTTGATTCA